TTTTCCCCCCACTCTATTCAGGATGGTCTACTGTGATGCCACTCGGAGCTGTCAGCAGTGGGAGCCAGGCACCACCTGGTTCTTCTGTCTCAGGTTCAGGAGACTGAGTCCCTGTGGTCCATCAGTCCTTTGAACTAACTGTCCCTATGTGTGCACTTGGATTTTCTACCCTTTCCTTTGCTCTGGAGGAGAAGAGCCCATTAGTTACACCTTAGATGGCAACTCATAGCTGTGAGGATTCCAGTCCCTACTTAACAAAGTCAGGCGTAGACGGCTGTCTTTGTGAACTACGTCATCCTCTGAGACTTTGATCCTACTACCCAGACCCAGCAACTTATTTCCTCAAGCTATGTGGTTATGGCTAGGAAGTCTTTGTAATTTTTCTTCCTTGATGTTCTACTATATATTCATAGATATATATTTGTAACAACATATAAAAGCCTGTCTACAAATATCCATCGTCAGATCTATTAATGGCTGTAATCTCATTCCCCCGTCTCTACCTGTTTGACTTGTGTCTATGTCCATCTCTATGTTGCCAGTGGTAGGTTACTGCGGCAATTACAGGATTGTATATGGAATAACATTGACCTTATTGCCTATAGCTCTCATGCTCCTCCAGTGGCTTCCTTTGCTGTGAGCATCTTGTGCAGGCAGACCTCCCCATTGCCCTACCCATCACTCAAGCTAATACATGTCCAACCGCTGGTTAGCGTTTTACCCTCCCACGTCATCCCACTCTTGGTAACCTTTAAAGACTGATTCCTCTGTGTGCAAACTTTTTCCTGACTTTGTACAGTACAGCTCTCATACACTATTTGTAACTGACTAATTTCACTCAGCATAATATCCTCTAGGTTTATCCATGTTACCAGATGTTTTTAAAGATACGTTCTTATTCCTTAATGATATATAATATCCCATTATGTGTAACTGTAAAAGTCTTACTATAGAATTTTAAAAATTATTTTATTGAGAGCTCTTACAGATATTATAACAATCCATAATTCAATGAGATAAAACATCATTGTACAATTGCAGCCACCATCATTTTCAAAACGCTTCCTTTCTCCTTGAACTCTTTCTTTTCAGCTCTCCTTTATGCCTCCTTCCCCCCCCCAGAAACCCTGAATATATATATATATTGCCATATCTTACACCCTCCAATATATCTGTTCACCTACTTACTATAGAATTGATAGTATGAATGAACACTATTAAAATTCTAAAAATATTAAATCAAAATAAATTAATTATAGGCCAAAATCGGAAAGGATGAGCAAACTTAAAAATCACAGGTTGAATCCATCCATACAAGATTTGATACCAGAAATGATACATGCACCAAAAAATGCATGTAAGCAAGGTGTAGTTACCAAAAAATGTAAATACTCAATTAAAAAGCCATAAAGGAATCTTACAAGTAATAATAACAATCTCTCTCTTCTTCTAGTGGTTGTTTCATGGGTCAACACTCATTAATACAGTCAAAACTCATTAATTTGTTACTTGAAATGGGTATACGTTTTGCTGTATGTTAGTCATTTCTGAGTAAAACTGGTATAAAAAGAGAGATGTCATTGGGCAATATTTGGCGGGTGGAGGTGGGGAGGGTCAACACACAAAGAAAGTACAAAAGACTGAATAAAAATCACTTGTGATTTTAAATTCTTTCAATTATTTTGAAAATGGGAAGAGTAAAAATACTCTGATCTTTCTACACTTGAAAATGGGTGTGAGGAAAAGAAAAGAAGGATCATTATGGGTAAGGATCAGAAAAGAAAGGGACTACCACTAGATATCTACAATTATGGACAGAAAAATCTTGGGATTTTTTTTTTTTTAGGCTTAGCAAGAATTAGAATTTAGCCTGGCCTTTCTCAGGCAAAGTTGTAGTTTGGATTCATCTAAAGAATCAATTTTGGTGGACTTCTGCAATATTGGAGGGCAAAAGTTTTATCTGAATTCTACCCAGCACTGTACCAGCTGACTGAAACACGGAAGGCCTGAGATGTGAACTGAGGAGGGCTCAAGTGGAGAGGAAATGTTTTGCGAATGATGATGGCAACAAATGTACAAATGTGCTTAACACAATGGATGGCTCTAGGGACTGTGATAAGAGTTGTACGAGCCCACAATAGAATGCTCTTTTTAAAAAAAAGGTCAAATGGTTGCCAAAAAAAAAAAGATGTGAACTGAACAACACAGGCAGTTTCCAACATGCAAGGGGGTTCGATTCTGAAGACTCTTTTATAAATTACTTCTAAGATAAATCAACTGTGGGAAACTAACAAATATCATTCCCACAGATTCTCCACTAACAGCTATGCTGCCTTAAAGTGAGCACATGGTTGATTCTGTCTCCCTGTGAAGGCAGACATTCTTTGATTATCTCCTCCCACTTCGATGCCCACCCCGCCTCATGTCTTCCCCCATGCTGGTTTTGGGTTTCCTCACCTGTGAGCTCAGACACTTTACTGTGATTATCACCCACCTTGTGAGTATGTAATTACTGAATAAGCATGTCTTATAGCTACCTACAAAGAGCCTGAAAACAATAAAGATACTCTCTTCCCCGTCCCCGCTCCTCCGGTCTTCTCCTCCTCCGGACCCCCTCCGGCCCTGTCCTCTCTCCATCTGACCTCCTTCCTTGTGATCCTCTCCAGATCTCCACATAGACCCTCGAACGCTCCATAAAATGTGCCTGAGTCCTTCACTGTACTCCCTCCCCTATCTCTTTTCTTCTCCATGACTTTGCCCTAGTCTTCACAGACCAGCGCTGTGCAACCATGCCTGCCAGGCCTGTGATGAGTTGTCAGGGGCTGGCTCCCCAACAAGACACTTGTTTCCTGGGGGCTATTTTTATTTTTACTATGTCATTAAATACCACAGAAATTCAATCTGTGAGTATCTGAGAATGATAACATCAGCAAGTCACACCCTGCTACACTGTCACTTTGAGAACTAAGGTGTGCCTGAATCAATCATGGTACTTTCAATCGCCTCACATGCAGGTGAAAGTTGAGCACTGATTACTACTGATGTTTGAATGATGGTGTTTGAGATGCCGACTGAAAGCAACACAGACTGCCCAAAGAACAAACAAATCTGTGCTGGAAGACGTACAGCCAGAATGCCCCGAATGCCCGAGAGGGAAGGACGGCAAGACTTTGTCTCATGTACTTTGGACATGTGGTTAGGAGATACCAGTCCCTGGAGAAGGACCTCAGGCGTGGTAAAGCAGAGGGACCGTGGAAAGGGAGAAGACCCTTGACAAGATAGACTGACACAGTGGGCTCAAATATAAGAACAGCTGTGAGAATGCAACAGAACCGGGTGGTGATTCATTTTGCTATTCTTAGGATCACGATAAGTCGGAAGTGACTCAATCGTACTTAACAGCAACAACACTGTATATAAGGAGTCCTCATGACACACTGGGTTAAGCACTAACTATGGAGCTGGTGGTTCACCGGAGAGGGATGAGGCCGCCTGCTCCTATAATGATTTATAATCTCAGAACCTCGATGGAGCAGTTCTACTCTGTCCTATAGGATCGTTATGAGTTAGAATCGACTTGATGGCAGTGAATTACACTGTATGTAGTTCAAACTACTAACAAATGAGCTGTACAAAGACAAAGCAGATGGTCATAAGTACAGGCCATCATAACTCAAATACATTGTAAGTCAGGCACTACCTGTATTAGTAGACCACCAGCCAAAGAAAAACAGAGATTTAGAGTTGTAAAACTCAACAAATAAACAAACCAAA